AAATTGTTTAAAATGTCAACTACTCTGCACTTTCCCCGAAAATGGGGTAAGAGCGTAACTTGAAGTTAAATACTTTGAAACTTTATTTCATGTGCAATGGGGCAAGAGCAGAATTATTAACAAATCTGCTATAAAATGCTTTTTTACTGCATTATGCAAGTACTCTATACTGCAAACAAGTACTCTTAGCTGAAATATAAAAAGGGATATAGTGAAACAAAACAAGGAAACAAACACACTAACTGGGAAAATTTCACCTCATGTATGTGAAATTAAAATCATTATTAACTCATTTTTTTTCCAAAATCAGACTTATATTAGTTTAAAAAACGGTTCATATATAAGGTATAGAAAGAACCAAGGAGCAAGTAAGACCAACTGCGTCCGACTGTAAGCAGAGGTTAAAGAGGGGAGCAGCACGCGTCTGCCACGCTCCCCGTGTATACACCTGGGACCAGTTGGTTAGCGAGAAGAATCTCTTCCACCCTAGGCACAAACAATGTCCAATTATTAACAAATTATGATTGCGAAATTAGAAATCTTCCGGAAATATAGAAACGAAATGGCCATTACAGCAGAAACTTGTTGTTATTGATAGAGGTATCTGAGTCGGCTTATATTTTGCAAAATTATGCTTTTAGTGACAGAAAATATATATCTACACACCTGTACATGTAAAAAGAATGATAAAATATTCAAAAGTCGTTAAAAATATCATGTTAAAATTAATTATTTAAGACATAGATTTAAAAATTTTTATCTAGAATTTTTACTTCTGTATGCACTCTATTGTTGTAAAATTACCACATATAAATTGCACATAATTTTGACATAATCAAGACTGAAATAATTAGCAAACATTTATTAATATTATCCCTATCAAATATTTAAATTCAAGAAATTTCTCTAGTCTCCACATTTCTGGTATCTTAAATTCTTATTTTGCTTATTGGTTAATACTAAACCTACCGGTCTATAATGTGTAATTCGAAATTAAAAATGTTTGTAAATCTACGGTTAATAACATAAATATTTAATACCTGGATATTTAAATATTACTTTGATAAATATAGAACTGTCAATTATTCCCTATTTGTAGATCATTAGCACGCGCATTTTATTTTTCTACTTTTGTACGTAATAGGTAAGGCTTTAATGAACTCTTACGATATCACGGGAAGGAAGTGAAATTTATTCGGGTGCATGTCCCTACAGCTTCAAGGAAAAAGCAACCGTTCGAAGTTCCTTCCTCGTAATAAGTTTTAAGGCTTTTCGAGATCTCTCATTTATAAAACGAAAGAGATTCATATCTTCTGTATTTAGAAACATTGATTCTAAAAAAACAAAAGATCAATTAAATGTGATATTTTCTGCAAAGAAAATTTGTTGAATTCAAAATACTCATTTTGAAAATCTAATCAATAATTTTGTTAACTTAACAACTTAGATAATTATCTCTTTTCTGATACTATGAAATTACTCTCTTATATGTTAATAAGATATGATACCTACTTTTAATTACAATTATAATAAACACAGACCCAAATCGAGTTGATAAAAAATTATTATAATTAAAATGTAGAAATCAAATTGATTGTCAACGGTTGACAAATTTTTGATCATCCAATATACGTTGACCGTTATTGTAAAAAGGTATTTTAAAGGAAGGTAAAGAAGTAGAAAATAGAAAAGCAAAATAGTACAAAAAATCATGAATTTTCATGAAGGCTACAAATGTGTAAAAATAAGCATATACTGTTATAAAAAATATTCTATTTGAAACTATACATTCATAATAAAAAATATTTATTAATATATATAAGAAATAATAGTAAGTTGAAGTATGCAATCTTTGTATAAGTTTGTTTGCATTATAATTAAGAATTTATACAAATATATACGTACACATCTGTTTATATGCACGTATGTTTCAATATAATCATTTAAAATTTAATCATAAACAAATTATAACAAACTATTTAATATTTACTAATAATTATTTATGCATTTCGAAGCTTCTCCACGAAAGATGCTGTCACTAACAATAAAAGATCCGAAAACATACAATCATGCATAACGCAATTACAAAGAAAAAGATTCGGCAAAAGCCGCTAATTAAATGTCTAGGTAAGATAAATAAACGAAATGCCGACAGGAAGTTGGAAAGAAGCGGAAAACCGAGAATAACATTAAAATCGCATTAGCTACTTCAACCACAGTTTCCGGTCCATTTGAAAATACACGCCTATTATATGCGCGTATATATTTGTAATAAACGTAATTCGTATCAATAACTTTTCACACGGCAGTATTTTATGGAAAAAAAGAGTATAAATTATACATAATAATTATGAAACTATTGAATAATCTGTTACCATGTTGATTGACTTTATAATCTACAATTTATTCAGTATAAAATATTTAATTTGTGCAATTATAAAATTGACAAAAGACAAAATAAAAGTGCAATCAGGTTTATAACCGTACAAAATAAAAGGCCGATACAGTAAGAATACAGCAGTAATTTGAAGTAGCTATTTAGAACATCAATTTTCAAACAATTCTAAAAAATTTAAGTCACCAAATTATTAATTACAAGATCAATTTAAATGTACTTTACTAATATATTAGTTTTACAAAAGTACACACGTATTTTAAATTTCCATAAAGAAAATTATTTATGTTGAAATATGAACTATACAATAAATTAATCAGTCATAGTTTCATATAGTTTCATAGAGATATTAACGACGCTTGTCTGAATAAACAGCTACACTGAAAAACAAGTAAAAAACAAGCAGCAGCCTGGTGCTGGTTTTGGCGCTCTCTAAAACGCCTGAGCCGATGATCACATTCCAGATAACCCGGTTAACCCTTCTAGCCCATTATTATAATATTTGCCAAGCCAAAATATAGTAATTGCTTATTTGCTCGGGCCCAATTACCACAACATCCACATACACCCATGAGTTCTTCGTACTACGAACAAAATATCTGCGGGACTCTTGCCGTTTTATAAAATTCAACCACCACACCTCTATCCTTATCTTTACTACATAAATATCAAAATTGCATGTTCTATGTATTTATAAACATTAATAATAATCGCTAATAATTATTAATTATTAATATAATGCTACTTTTTTACAACATGTGTCTAAAATATTTATATACTGATTTCCTCAAAAAAAGTCATGTATAAACGAAATTATTCTACACTTTGAATTTATTTTTACGAAAGAAACCAAATTCTTACTGGCTTTACCCATATTTCAGAAACATCTTAAGTATTTGCTTAACATTATGTATTCCATTATTTCTTAATTATTAATTTGCTACAATACATAATTCACAATTTGCATTTGACAAATTATTAATATAGAACAAATTTTTGCAAAAAAGCCAAACGATTTTTGCTTATACCTCTTATCACAGAATCCTAAATGAATTTTTATAATACCTTAACAAAATTTTATATGATACCTCACAATCATGACACTTCACAACATTCAAGCTTCCTTTCACTAAAACCGCGATTTTTTTATTAAGTGATTATTACAGCAAATGAGCAATATATTACATGTAGGAATTTATGTACACAATTCATATATTCCAAATTATTTATCATATTGCTCCTACTATTGCTAATATTTTTTAAAATTGATATTGGTTAACAATTTTACATGTAAATAAATGAAAAAGAAATTGTTAAAGTATAGCATGTAACTTTTCCATACAGTGGTATAGCCTATTTTATTATTAGATGAAAATTTGTTACTGGTCTACCTTATATAATATACTTTCACTGTACTGTGTAGATTTAATAAAACAGAATTCTTATATTTTAACATTTTTTATTTCAAAAAATGGTAAGTGAAAATGCATAATTATATCATGAAATAAAATATTACAATTATAAAAAAAATTTTAATATATACATATTTTGTAATTACATTATGGCTTCCACAATTTTAAAAGCCCATCTTCGCTATAAGAACACAAAAGATTTTGGTGAGGATGATGTGTCAAACCAATAACATCTTTTTCATGTATCTGAAACCCAAAAATAATAACTTCAATATAGTACATATAAGATACAAAAAATGAGAGCACTTACGTTCAGAGTTCTTTCAAGTTTTCCTGATGAAGTAGAGAAGCAATAAAGTACAAGATCTTCACCAACACAATAAATAAATTCACCACGTGGACTTACAACTGTACACACAAAATCACCCCCTTCTCGTTTACCACTGGAAAACGATCTTACTATTTGTCCTTGCATATTCATAATAACTACTGTATTCGAACGGTTGCACACAACAAAATGTTCTGGATTTCGAGGAAGAAGATGTATGCTATTTACAGTTAAATCTGCAGCCCCTAAAGATTTGTATGTACCTATACACTCTGTTGTTTTCAAACTCCAAACTTTTACTGTTCCATCTGATGATGCACTAAATAAATATACAGAATAATTAAGTGTATGTTTCTAGAATAAGCTCATTCAATAATTAATTAAACAAAAATTATACCTTATTATATTATGTCCATCTGGAGAAAAAACTACTTCGTTTACAAAAGAAGCATGTCCCCGAAATTCTTTCAAAGTTTTCCCAGATTTGAGACCATGTATCCTATGTAGAAAAAAGGTACACAATGAAGTTAAAAGTAAACCTTGACTACTGCTTTTCTTCTAATAATTTTGTAATAACCTTATAGTAGTATCAAACGATGCAGATAAAATTTGGCTATTATCTCTACTGAACTGAAGACATGTAACACCTTTAGAATGTGCTTTCTCAAACCTCCTTAAGCACTGTCCACTTTGAACTCTCCATACTTTTATTTTTCCATCTTGTCCACCACCAGCTAACATTTCACTGTCACGACTAAATGACATTGACAATACTGCTTGTTCCATCATCATAAAGTTATCTTGAGCTTGATACTTTAAATCCTTTCTAATTTTACCAGTTGTAAAATTCCATACTTCAATAAACCCATCAACAGAACCAGTAACTAAATATTGACCATCAGGTGAGAAGCGTGCACATTCCACGTGAGACTTCTGACCAAATTTAATTTGTTTTGAAAGCTGTGTTGGATACTTCTCGTCTTCTTGATCTCGTACTGCTGCTTTTCCTCTGAATAAATCTATTGTAGTACCAGGTGGAAGTAAACCCTGATGTTGTTGCCATTTTAATGCCTGTCCTAATAATGCAAGTAATCTACTAGATGGTACTACTGACACTTCGCCAGCAAGAGCAGTAGCTATATAAGCTCTTCGTTTCTCTTTTGTACTTCCATCAGGATATGCTTCACGTGGATCAAAATATGAACGAGCAAGTAAATTTTCTATAAACATAATTATGTTAAGAACAACTTAAGTAATACAAAATTATTTTACAGAATAGAACACAAATAGTTATTATCTTAAATTACTACACCTAAATGAATATATCTTTCAGGTTCCTGTTGTTTCATCATAATCATAGGATCTGTTTGCCTTAATAATGATCGAGCTGCTCCTAATTCTCGTAATTCAATTAATTCCAAAACGACCTATAATAAACACATAAAATACTTATAATTTACATACTTTTTAACATTTTAAAGTAAAACACACCTGCTCATATAAATCAATAAGCTTCTTATCGGGTAATTTTAACGATTGTATAGCTTTCAACACTGTATCCCAATGTCCATTATTTATATCTGCTACAAAACCATCTACACTATCTACTGTATTCAATGACACGCCAGTCTCTTCCTACAAATACTCATATAAAATCATTTTTACTATATACTAAAAGCATTTACTCTTATACAATGTCTTTAAGTTAAGATTGTAAACTAGTACCTGTAATGTTTGCAACGTTTTGACAAGGTTCGATTCTTTGAGATATTGCTGTATCAAACGAATCACACTAAAAACAAATAAAAGATATATGAATTCAGAATAAATGTAAAAAACTTTTTTATAAGAAGTAAAATAATTACTCTGCAGATTCAATTTCAATTGACATTTTCTACAATATTACAAAATCGAATAAAATAAATATTTATACTAAATACAATTGCGATGTCAGGTTATGTTATGTTAGTATAACCATAGGCAAATGTAAACAAATAGACTAAACGTCGAATGCGAAAAGATGCAACCATGCCTATATCTATATCACAGAGTAAGCCAGAGGCGACCTCTCTGTCGGCACCTTGGATCTCTTGAAAACGCTGACCCTTTAAATTGGTTGAGCAAACGAGCGGGAAATTTAAATCAGTGAATCTAAATTCACAATCTAGGATGTGTTTGTACTATAAATTGTAGTAAATTTTCTCTATATTACCAATATTAACTTTCGAAATATTTACATCAATTTTACAACTTTAAAAAGTTGAAAAAGAAAAGAATGTACGAAAATGATTACTCTACAAAATATATTTGAAGAATAAGTATTACAGAAATGATTATTACAAATGACTTATAATGAATAACTTAAAATGGAAAATTACATATCACAAGAAAATACAGACAAATGTATTATTACAGAGATATAACAAAATATTGAGTACTAGTGAATGTGTAGATTTAAACTTTTCTTTTTCAACCGCTATACTTGTAAGTACATGCAGGCATGCGCATTTCAAAATACTTTATTGAAATCGTCCCCCTATCCACAATTCATTTGGTTTGGCATTTAAATTGATTGTGTCCTCTGTCTCTCTCTAGGAGGTAGGTATTCTTGTCTAGTGTTCCATCCTGTCTCTTGTTCTATCCCTACTCTTTGGTTCCGTCTACGGAGTATCCCTGCTATCTCCTACACTATAAACTGCTAAAATGGCTTCAAATGGCGGTAAAATTCAAATCTACTTCAGTAAAGATGAAATGTTACAACAAAATAAAACAAGTTTCGTTATTGATTTAATATGAAATAGTAAAATTGAATTTGATATAATACTAATTTTATGATAAAAAATAAATTTTTTTCCAAACATTGGTTTAAATCCCTTTAAATCAGCGTTTTACTTCTATTTTTATCAAATACAAATTAAAACAATAACAATTCCTTTTATATGTTAGAGCAAATTAAGAAAATTAACAGTATATTAAAATAAGTTCTAAATAAAAATATTTATTTTGTTATTTTATTATGACAGTTCGTTTTTATACAAATAAATTTGAATTTTACTTGAGCACTTGAGAGTACATATTATGTAGTGTCTTCTTTTTCTAGTCAAATAATGTCTATCTATTTTCTTCCGGTTTAGATCAATGTAGTGATGACCAATGAAAAATGTGGATATAATTTTCTATCACTACAATTCGAAATTAAGTAGAAGTACTCTGTTCCCTCAGAAAATATAATATACAAATATTGTAAATGATATGTATATAAAAATTTGTTATTAATTTTACTGTAAACTTTTTAATATGAAACATATTTACTTACATAGTAAATGTATAAATATATTTTTTCAGTTAAATAAATTGTAATTATTTATTTTAGATATTATATATAATTTTTTGTTTATAAATCCAAATAATTATAATTTTCATTTTATCGCTAAATGTTAACTGCAAATATTGTTGTAACTTACTTCAAAACGTACAGCAAACATGATAATAGAATTAAATAAATTTTGACTTTTGTATTTATAAAGATATTTAATAAGAATGTTTTTAACACGTATTTTCACGTCTCGAATTTCTTCTATGTCTATTCAATCTTTCGTTATCTACAGGTATGCATACGTTCTCGATGAAACATTACGTGGTATAATTTGAGCATGACCAGGCATGATCGATATGAACGAAAGCATGTTGTGAAACAGTCGAAGTGACAATTTTAATTCATATTAAATTTACAGTTTACATGTATTTTCACAATTGCTTTGATTATTAGTATGTATCGTATCTTAAAATATTGATGTTATAATTTGATACAAAATAATTGTATCAAATAGTTACTTCATTTTGCTTTATGCAAATTATAACCTTTGATTATTTTCATTTGATATTTTTTCTGGTATTAAATACTTCATATTTATATAAAAATTAATAGTTACATTAATCAACAAAAACCAGTATATATGTAATTGAAAACATATTCAGTAACTTCATAATTAAAAAATATTTTTTTATAAATTTAGATAAACAAGCCTGTAAAACATCATACTTGACAGAATATAAAAAAATGATTCATATTTAGTCATAGGCTCATTAATTTTTATCTAATTACATCAGTGTGTCATCTTATATGATAAAGTTTTGGTGTATAGTGTCATATTAAAATTTATAATGGCTTCATTACTAGAAACTGATAAAATTTTATGCACAGATATTACTGCTACCAAGTAAGAATTTGTTTATGTAATAATATATTTTATAAGTAATTTATATAAAACAAGAATATATATTTATTTGTAAGAATTAATTTGAATAATGATATGTATCTGTTTAATTAGATTCAATTACTGTCATTAATATATTTATTTTTTAGATATAAATCATCCGATGTGAAAGTATCAAAAACTAAAATGTCTCTAAATAATTATGTGGAAAAGAAATATAGCGATATAACTAAATCTGCAAATGATAAAAGAGAATATAGAGGTTTAGTACTTACAAATAAAATGAAAGTTTTATTAATTAGCGATCCAACAACTGATAAAAGTGCTGCGTCTTTGAGTGTGAATACTGGTAAAGTTACATATTTACAAAATAAAATTTGAAATGTTAATGTATGATAAAAAAAGTTATTTTATTATATTAAAATACTTTGGCATTACTTATATTTACAGGTTATGCAAGTGATCCAGATGATTTACCAGGCTTAGCACATTTCTGTGAACATATGTTATTCTTAGGGACAGAAAAATATCCAGAAGAAAATGATTATACTAAATATTTAACACAGAATGGTGGTTCATACAATGCATCAACCAATATGGATCATACCAATTATTATTTTGATGTACATTCAGAAAAGTTGGAGGGTGCATTAGATCGTTTTGCACAATTTTTTATTGCACCTATTTTCACAGAAACTTTAACTGAATTAGAATTAAATGCTATTAATTCAGAACATGAAAAGAATTTAGCGAATGATACATGGCGTATTGATCAATTAGAAAAATCGTCTGCTAATCCCAATCACCCTTTTTCAAAGTTTGGTAGTGGCAATAAAGAAACATTAGACATAATCCCAAAACAAAAAGGAATAAATCTTAGAGAAAGTCTATTAGAATTTTACAACAAGCATTATTCTGCCAATCTTATGGCTTTATGTGTACTTGGCAAAGGTAATTAAAATATTTTATTACATATAATTATATTTAGGCAAAAAGTTTAACTCGATTAATTAAATACTGTTCTTTATTGATATAATTATTGGTTATTGTGTAAAAGGAAAAAAGAGTTCTTGTTTTTTAAACTTTTTATTAGATTTATATGACAAATTTTGTACATCAATGCATGTGCATGTATAAAAATAATTATTTTTTAAACTATGTATAAAATGTATTGTTTATATAGAGAGTTTAGATGAACTTGAACAAATGGTAGTGGAGTTATTTTCTCAAGTAGAGAACAAGGAAGCTGAATTGCTTGTATGGCCAGAACATCCTTTTAGCGAAGAGCACTTTAAAACCAAGTGGTATATTGTACCTATAAGAGACATGAGAAATTTGTGTATTATATTTCCTCTACCTGACTTACAAGAACATTACAAAGCATCGGTAATAACTTCTATTCTTTTATGTGATATTGTATTATATTTTAGTTTGTAGTAAAAATATATATGTATTCTTTGTTCTTTTCTAGCCTACATATTACATTTCACATTTATTAGGACATGAAGGAGAAGGGTCACTGTTGTCTGCTTTGAAAGAAAGAGGGTGGTGTAATACACTAGGATCAGGAAACCGATTAAATGCTAGAGGTTTTCAGTTTTTTGTTGTTTATATCGAATTAACAGAAGAAGGTATTCAACATGTTGATGATATTGTTCTGTTAACTTTCCAATATATTAACATGCTAAAAAAACATGGACCAATTGAATGGATTTACAATGTAATTACACATTTGCTAGTGAACTTATTATTAAAATTACAGCTGGTAAAAACTAAAATTGCTAATTTTATATACTTACTTTATATTTTATTAAAGGAATATAGAGACATTGCAAAGATGAACTTTAGATTCAAAGAGAAATCGTCCCCTTCAGATTATGTTACTAACGTAGTACATATATTGAAAGATTATCCAATGGAAGATGTTTTAATAGTTAACAATCTTTTTCCATTATGGAAACCGGAATTAATTGAATGGGTGACAGAATATTTAAAGCCAGAAAATGTAAGAATTCATGTAATTGGAAAATTATATGAAAGTATCGCAGATGAAACTGAAAAATGGTATGGTACCAAATTTAAAAAAGAAAAAATACCGCAATATATAATCGATACATGGATTAATGCTGGTTTAAATTCCGACTTACAACTACCGCCGAAAAATGAGTTTATAGCAGAAAATGTTGACATAAAGCCAGCAGAAGATAATGTGAGTAAGACTCGTATATTTTACATTCCTATATAAGTATAAAATAATTTTTAGAAAAAAAATACGCCGATTTCGAAATGCACTAAAAAGTATAAAATAATTTCTATTTCCTAATGAAGTAATTTCTATTTCATTCAATCATACAATTACGT